GAGAGAGAAGATCAGAAAGGGTGAGGAAGGAGAGAAGACAGCAGTCCTTATGCAGGGAAGGAGGAGTTTAAACCCCATTATCTTGCTTAGAGTTGCTATCCAGCTGACCTAGTTCTACCCCAGCATCCTTTCCTAGCAAACTCTCTGCTCAGATCGGATTGTGGGGTTTGCAGTCTAGAGGTAGCTCTAATATTCAGACGAGGGGGGTGTTGAGAGTCAGGTCTGAGGGAATGAAGCCCACAGCTGAGATCTCACTGCATATTAAAACAGAGCCCCCAGGATTCTTGGGGACACACACAAAAGGGATGATCAGAAAAGAAATATGAAGGGACACGTGTGTGCGTGGGTGCATAATTTATGGACAAAGGTTAGGAGAGCAAAGAATATAGCTTCACTACGTAACACCTAAAAGGGAAGAGGCTACAAGGGTTTGAAAATGGGAGCGGTCCCATGGGCAAGACCAGGATCAAATTGAGTGAATGTAAAGGATTAGGCTGTGGAACTTTCATTTCTTGGGACGCTGACCTGAGAACTGAGATTCATGCTAGGAGGCTTACAGGAAGGGATCCTCTCCGTAGTGCCAGAGAGAGTAACCAGAAAGCTGAACATTACATGGAGAAAAGCAAAGGGAGGCCGACGGTCCAGTGCTCACCAGTTTGATCAGACAGTTATGTGAATTCAGGTCTCTGTGGATGATGCACATGGAGTGCAAATAGGCCTGAAACAGAGAGACAGGGAGGCATGTTAGAACAAGGTTCATGAATACTTTCTTTGGAACCCCTCCAAACACCCTGCAAAAGCACACAGCATTTCCCCAGCTACCAAGTCGCTACTACCGACCGTTACACACCATCTTATTACATCAGCCCAAGTCCTACAAGGGCAGTCTCAAGAGAAAATTGACTCACCATTCCTGAAGCAATTCCTTTGGCAAAGCTGACTTTCTGCTGCCAAGGAAATTGGTCCTGAAAAACAAGGATGACAGTGATCAGGTGTTACCTCACTAGCTGGCCACCCCCTGCTACAGAAAGAGGATATAGCTCTAGGTCACCAACCAGTCGGTCGGGATCTCCTGGTAGATCTTGGAGCCTCTGACAGGGGATCCTGACTGGTTTGGCCAAGAGGCTGTCAAGTGCCTGAACTACAGCTGCTCTGCCTCCCACTGCTGCACATCTCTGGCCCTTTGCCTTGGAGCTGTCCCCTCAGGATCCTCCTGTTTGCTGTGCAGGGCAGGGCAGGGAGAGGAGGGTGCTGATGTCAAGGTTCCCCCTTCTCCCACCCTGTATCGTATCTCCACAGAGCAGAGAGGGAGCACAACAGGACTAGGAATAGAGCAAGTTTGCTGGCTGCTTTGGGGAGTGGTGCAGGGCCAGGGCAGGGTTGAGCCGGCCTTAGCCCCGCTGCTCCATCCCCCACAAGCCACCTGAGCTAAGCATGCCCAGCTGGAGTCCACATCCTGAATCCCCTCCCAAGTCATGAACCCCCTCCTGCACCCCAAGCCTCTGCCCTAGCCCTGCATCCAAACACCATCCCAGAGCCTGCAACTAGAACCCCCTCTGGCATCCAATTGCCTGCCCCAGGCTCAGCTCAGAACCCCTCTCACACTCCAAATCCCTTAATCCAAGACCAGAGCCTGAAAATCCAATCCGCTGCACCTGCCACTTTGGTGAAAGTGAGTGTTGGGAGGAAGGAGGATGGAGTGAGCAGGGGCAGTGCCTCAGAGAGGCAGAGCAAGGAACATAAAGGAGGCAAGGTAAGGATATTTGGATTTGAGGTAGATCTTGGATTGCACTTAAATTAAAAACGCGATCGTGTATGTAAAAAGGTTGGAGACCACTGGGCAAGAGAGCAAGATGCTACCTCCCCCCGCAAATCAGAGGTGTTATGTGCAAAAACAGGGAAAGCTTCCCTTCACCGTGGGAACCCGGCTACAATGGACAGAACAATTCAGCTAACAGAGCTCCCTGTGGACACTCCGCAGCAGAGACAGTGGTGTGTGGCCAGGATACTTTTTCCCCTACACTGGCCTGAGAGCCATCAGGACACGCAAACGTGCTCTATGACTCACCGCACTGTGGAGGAAATCCTTTAGAGTCCCCCCTTCGATGTACTCGGTAAGAAGGTTCAGTTTCTTATCCTTGTACAGCACGCCAATGAACTTCAGTACATTGGGGTGATCCAAACTGCGCATCACTTTCACCTGCAGAGGCAGAAACATTCCCCCGCCCCCATGAAAGGTTAGTACCAGCCGTACTAAGATTCTCCGCAGTTATACTTAGCAGTCCCTGCATGGGCGGAGAAGGGGCACGTGCCATCCATGGAGGCTCACTGCATCTCCCAGAAGTATTAAAAGAAAGTCGATCCAAAACCCAACTTTCAAGGCAATTCAGTTATCATGGTTGCCTCTGTTTCCATTATCACTTGATTCTCGAAAGACAGTGATGGGCTAAACATGGCTTAGTGGACAGGACTTCCACACTGTAGCTATTGTGCCACGTAGAAGAGTAGCATTAGCATATTTAGAAAGCTGCTTTTCAGATCAGCCTGACTTTGGGGGATGAGGAAGGCAGCCATTCAATAAGCCCATTTAAAAAGCCCATTCTAGGTTGTAACTAAGTAGAACATCTTCCTGAGTCAGCTGTTGCCTATTAATGTTTTATACTGGAACGCTCGCTGTACAAGATGCATCCCACAACGTTTTACACTGACATTCACTAAGCAGAGTTCAGCCAAACGGCCTCTATGGCTCAGAGTGCCTTTTAGGCTTCCTATTCATTAGTTTTCAATAAGTCATCTTCATTTTCTGATTAAGGCAGTCATGTTTGATTGTGACATGCCATTTCAGCCAGGTTTGTTCTTCCCCCCAGTACGCTGCTTCCTTGCTAAGATTACGAGCATGCACGGCTACAGAGGGGCAGCGAGGTGGTCTCACCCTCTCACAGTTGGCTCCCTGGCCTCTAGGGATGTAAACTCATGGAGAAATAAGGAAGAACTCACCCTCTGTGGTCATCCTGGAGTAGTCCCAGCCCCAGTGGTGGGCAGGCCTAGAACAGCCCCTCAGACAGGATCACTGCCCTGACCCCAAAGCCCAGGTGGAATGCCAGCCAGCCCACCAATATAACTTTAATCGGTTAACTGCTTTGACCGATATTTACATCCCCACTGGCCTCTCAAGATCTTGCTCCTACCTCGGTCAAGAAAGTCTTCTGCGTTTCCTCGTCACAGCGAATCAGCTCCTTCATCACCATCACCTTCCCTGTTGCTTTGTGGGTCACCTGTTGGAAACAGACAGTGTCACCACCTCTAGAGCTACCAATATAACTTTAATCGGTTAACTGCTTTGACCGATATTTACATCCCCACTGGCCTCTCAAGATCTTGCTCCTACCTCGGTCAAGAAAGTCTTCTGCGTTTCCTCGTCACAGCGAATCAGCTCCTTCATCACCATCACCTTCCCTGTTGCTTTGTGGGTCACCTGTTGGAAACAGACAGTGTCACCACCTCTAGAGAAGCATTTCCCACCCTGTGATCACATCTGCCTCCATGCCTGAGCGGGGAAAGGAGAGGGAATTCAGACAGACTGGGTCCAGGGACTTGAAGGAAATGGTCACCATCCCCCTCTCCCCCACACACAAAAGATTGTTAGTTGGAAGTGAAAAGACAGACCCACAAAAGGCTCCTTATGGTGTGGCCCTTTGGAGTTCACTATATTATTGTATCCCAAGACTCCAGTTGATGGTTCAATTTTAATCAGTGCAAGAGCTGAGTGTGCTGCAGGCTGCTAGAGTCTCTGCTAACAGCATTAACTCTGCACTTGTGTGCCTGGAATTACCTTGTATCGACCGAGAAGCACCATTGGACAGCATGTACAACATGAAAAGCTGGTCTCCATGCATGAACGGAGCACTTCAGGGGTTTCCTGACTGCAGGCTGAGGAGGGTTACCCTCTTCAAAGGTCAAAAGCAGCAACTAAGCAACCCACACCTAATGCACAGAGATCCCTGCTGTCATGTAGCTTTCACCAAGTGCTAGTTTTCTGACATGCTAATTGAAAACTGGTTCATTTGCAATGTTTTGGGGGAACGCACGACTGGAGACTGTTTAGTTGCAACAGGAAGCAGCAAAGGTTCCACATTTGGAGTGAACAGTGTATTGAAATCAGCAAGTATGGCACCATGGTGACAGCATGCAAGACTAGACCTAAAGACTGGTGGCATCAACTGCTTTTTCTACTCCTCTCACACTACTACACTCTTAAATGCCTGAAAGCCTGTGCCAGATCCTTCATGTTAAGTCAGGAATCAGTAGAGGAGACTTTTTTGCTCTGAGTATCTGGGGGCCCTTTAACCAAAAATTCCTTTCACACTGAAAAGAGGTGGCTCTAATGAAGAAACATCAACCAGACTCTGGATTTTGAGCACAACTGCAGATTTTTCCAGAGGACCTTCTCCCCCTGTTAACTCCTCCAGTAATTCAGCTTGGGTCTACTTGGCTTAAATTTCTGGGCACCTAAACAAGCTGATCTCCTCTTCTTTCTAAAGACCCAACATAAATGTCCAGTCCATCCAGAACAGGATAGAAGCTTTCAACAGAAGATATGGAAATTGGTCTTAATCTCCAGGGGAAACTGGGATAGTCTTCTTGTTTCAGGCTTTATGGGAACTAAAGAACCCAACAGAAACCCTCAGACCTTCAACTCAGCATGGAGGAACACGAGATCCAGGTGTAGGACTATTCTCCTGGTGACCCAAACAGAAAAGCAGGGGGAACAACCAATCTCCATTGTGCAAAAAACAAATATCAAGTCAGCATTCTGAGTTATAAGACAAGCCTCGGTTGAGAGATCCCGCAGATTACATTTGCCAGGCGCCCAGATTTGGGGTTTGCGAAGGAGTGATTCTGCGGTAGCTGCAGAAGCTATGGAAGTTCTCATTGCATTTCACACTCAAAGCCGAGTCCAGCTTCTCTTCAACAACAATTGTAAACCAAGTATCACAACTGATAGTTAACTTTTGATCAGCAATCTCCCCATATGAAATAGAACAGCCATCAGCAAAACAGGCTCACCCTCACATCAATGGTCCTTTTTGCATCTCTACTTTGTGAAGCTTACCAAGTAATTTCTGGTATTTTGGGGCTACAAAGTTTCACCTCCTTGCGTTTAGGAGTTTAGAGGTCTTAGGCTAGAAAGGGGCCACAAGCTGAGAATTTGGGAAACTGTTCTGTTGTAAGATGACTGCACATTAATACTGCTTAAGATTCAAAGGCCAGCTGTAGATTTCAGAGCTGATTGGATCTAGGCAGAGTATGAAACCCTGAGACTGTGTGGATACCAGGACAAGGCAGCCACACAGCATCCCTGCTCTTGCTCTGATCCAAAGTAATGCATTCAAATGTGAGCAGAATGCTGACTAGCACTATGCCATCAGCTTCTGCAAGAGGCGTTAAGGGTCTAGAGCAGGGGTCTCCAAACTTTTCTGCCCGAGGGCCGCATTAACTATCAAACAGCAGTTCGGGGCCGACTACACACTTGAGGTCCAAATAAAAAACAATCAAAACATGGATGTTGTTTTTAATTATTTAATATTTTATTCAGTTATTATTTAATAACACATTGATACACTACACATGAACACCTGTATTAGTGTGAATGGTGAAATTGTTTCCTGGATGCCAAAATAGCAGACATTTCTGGCTTTAGATTTGTTGTCCCTAACATCAACAGTGACCTGAGATTATCATCGGACAAGTTTGTTCTCAAATTGTTCTTCACATATTTCAGACGTGGGGAACTCAGCTGTTGCTTCAGCCATGAAGACCTTGCACTGCTGAAAGTGCGTCAAGTTGTTGGCCTGTACTTGTTCCAAAAACAAATTAGCAGCATGCCAGGCACATGCTATGGGGCACTGCATTAATGCACTGGGGAAAACTCACCCTTCAGGCCAGCGAGAAGAAATCCAGAGAGTGAGAAAAATACTTAAAAGGAGCAAGGGACAAATGAAGCATTAAAAATTACCCCTCCCTCCCCTGCCGCTCCTGCGGCTGTGCGCCCTCGCTCCCCTCCCCGTGGGCTTTCCCCTGGGCTCCGCTGCGCTGTGCCGCTCGGCGCTTCTCTGGGGGAGGGGCTGTCAGTGTGGGGAGTTTCTTCCCTGCCCCAGCTCCGCGGCGCTGCGCCGCTCGGCGCTTCTCCAGGGGAGGGGCTGTTAGTGCGGGGAGTTTCTTCCCCGTCACAGTCTCCACGGGCCGGATGAGAGGGCCTCGCGGGCCGCATCCGGCCCGCGGGCCGTAGTTTGGAGACCCCTGGTCTAGAGCACAGTGACTGAGGCAAGGGGAGCAAAGGGAAGTAATGAAGACAAACAGACTCGTTAGGTGAGTATAAAACACAGCAAACAGTGCCATTATGGAACGCACTGAGGGGACTCGCATCTCCCCGCGCATGCACCAACACAAGAGGAAATGCCTCCGTGCTGTTAATGCCATGGGGATGCAGATGGCAAGACATGCTGTAGAGGAAAAGGGACTGCTTACCTGGACATGCTATCTGTCTACGAGCAGAGGAAAGAAATAGGCCAATTAGTACTGTACTGAATCGAAGACTGAGCGGATCCCAGAGTGCCATATTCCCAAGGAAGCACAGGAGGAGGACTGACAACAGTAATGAAAGAAAAATTCCCAAACCACGGTGGGATGGAATTCAGGACACTGAAGAGCTCACAGCAGCCCTTGGAAGGTAGAGGGAGTTCAGGAAACTGGCTCAGCCTGCTCAGGTTTCTGGTATGACTGTAGCAGTAACCAACTAAGGGGACTGGGAGAAAAATCCAGGGATGCCAGGGAGGGAGCTCCTGAAGAGTCCGCACTCCCGGGCTAAGATCAGATAATACATACAGAGAAGGGAGAGGGGGGAAGAGTGTACAGTTGTATTGTGGGAGTTTTATTTCAAAGACATTTTGTGCCCAGGTGTGGTCAATACCTTGGGAGAGTGGAGGGCTCGAGTTACATAGGCTACCACAAACTGTCAGTGGATCTCTGTAAGCCTCAGTCTGGCACAGACTTTTGCACTGAAGGAATGACAATACTGATGCATTCAGGAAGACATTTCATGTAAGAGTGAGTCATTTTCCCCTTCCAGAGATGGGGCCCACTGACTCTGCAGTTTTGGTTACATACAGCCACCTTCTCAGCACACTAGATTCACGTTCGGTGGGCTGCAATTCACATAGCACAGTCAAAGCTTTCCAGCAAAATGTAAAGCATCTACCAGGATACCAGCTACTCACAAGCTGGGTGAGTATAAAGAGAAGAGAACTGGGAAGTGGTGAAAGCCAAAAACTCCCAGACCCGGAATGCTACCGCGAAGGGAATAAGAGTCACTCAATATTGTGGTGATGTTTTCAAGGTTCTGTAGGGGGCATAGCCTGTCCCTTGGGAATTTTCTGGGAAGTTTATGGGCCTTGGTTTTGCCCACTTACCTTGATGGCCTGTCCAAAGAATCCTTTCCCCAGGATTTCACCATGTATCAGATCACAGGGCCGGAAGATCTGCTGGGAATAGCTGGAAGAGGAGCGCAGAGATTCAGAACGACTAATGTCACGGCTCAGGATGAAAGGTTCCTTTGGGAAGCTGGGTCCAGTAGACTTGGAAATACTGTGACTTCGCCTGGAGAGTTAAAAGCAACAACTGGAAGATTAGATCAGCTGCAGGAAACAGGTCACCCTCATCTGAGCGTGCTAGTCACCACCACACTCATGAGCTTGCCACAATTCTGTGGCTGCGGAAGGTGCTGCAGCATGGACCGAATACTGCCATCACTTCCAGGGCTGAATTCATAAGTGAATCAACAGCAGTGTCCTTGCTGGCAGCCACCCATTGTGGGTGCATTTTTAGCCATAGGGATTCTGACTGCCAGCTTACAAGGAACAATGGATAGATCTGAGCAAGGGAGTCTTGTGAATGGGGGGCAGGTTTTTGAAGGTTGAAGACCCAAGACTCATATAACAGGAGTCTGCCCCAAGGGGTAAGCTCTCCCCACACTGCCATCTGGGCATGGCAGGAGTCTATGACTTTTCAGTTTTGTATTTCAAGTGGATAGCAATTTTTATAGCCCACAATTTAGCCTTTAATACTGGTTAGGCTATTCGACAAGCCAGCATAAAGGGGAGTCGATAGAAAGTGCCTGACTGGATCTACGGCCTCATCTCCTGGCTGGCCATCACTCAGTCACTTACAATTGAAAGACTGGGCACTATACATGAAAAGCTGGGTAAGAGGTAACAGGCAGTGGTGGCCTAGTCAGTCTAGAAGAAATGGAAGAAGATTTGCAATTGCTGCTCTAGAAGCACGAGCTGTGGTGCAGTTTTCCTAAAGTTTGGTACCTGAGAGAGCGCCTATGCAACGTTCCTTCCAGGTTCTCCTTAACAGGGGGAGCGGGGTGGGGGTGGGGGTTTTTATGTGGGTGGGGAGCCTGGAGTCCAGCCGCAGCCTGTCTAGTCGCTGAGAGACGGGGTCATGTTCTATGAGCAGCTGAAGCGTCTGACTGGTCCTGCGAATTAGGTCCTCCACCTGAACAGAAATCCAAGGGCAAGTAAGAATCTCTGAAGAGGACTGACGTAAAAAAATATGAAGCCACATGGACGTCCTTTGATAGAGAGATGGACTCTACCCTGCCTCAATTGGTCACCATGGCTGTGGTTTAGTTACGCACGTTAAAACTTAACATTTAACCAATTACATCGGATTTTACATCCCTGCTCCAAACTTCATTCCAACTCTCCTCTCCCCGCTGCCACCTCTCCCTCCCCAATTAAACTGAGATGCCAACGCCAAAGAGGCAGCAAAAAGAACTTCACGTTCAGCCAGCGGATTGTTCTGTTACACAAATCAGTGAAAGCATTACAGTCCCACACAGTAGGCACTGCTATGGGGTGGGGAAGATTGTGAACTAGTCCCAAATAGGGGAAAAAAAACAAAAACAAAAACAAAAACAAAACAAAACAAAACACCACACACCCCACAGTCTGTAGGACAGACTTCAGGATTACTCAAGATAAAACTATACCTACTTCCTCCACTTGTAATGTGCGAATAGGAACTCCATTGATTTCCAGGATCCGGTCTCCAGAGTGAATGGCATTTCGGACATTGGGACTAATATGTCTTCTGTTGACTCTAAATGAAAGGGAAGTGTCATTCTGGAGAATCTGCCTAAACAGAGTATTCAACATTCACTGGGTCGCTACCGCCTGGCAAGTGTTTTTCCCTTTTAGGATCCAGAAATAAGTGAAATAATTTCACTCTGCTGATGTTCAACACCACTGGGATGTGACGGCAAGCGTTCTCTGAGCTGCCCTAACCTCAGCAAGCTTGGGGAAAAAGGACCTTCTCATATCCCAAAGGAAAGAAAACAAAAGAGCCAAACCATAGGGAAGTGTCACAAGCTTTCTTTCAAAACAACAAGTACTGCTGTGGCACCTTGGATACAGGCAGTCCCCGGGTTATGTACAAGATAGGGACTGTAGGTTTGTTCTTAAGTTGAATCTGTATGTAAGTCAGAACTGGCGTCCAGATTCAGCTGCTGCTGAAACTGACCAGCGGCTGACTACAAGAAGCCGGAGGCAGAGTTGCTCTGCCCCGGGATTCCTGGAATCAGCCTCTGATCAGTGTCAACAGGCTGAATCTGGACGCCAGTTCCAACTTACATACAGATTCAACTTAAGAACCCCAGGCGTCCCCAAGTCAGCTGCTGCTGAAACTGATC